TGTTTCTGCACATAGATATGCACTAACTGAAAATAAGATCTTTTCTTTGCCGAGAAGGGGCTGCAGGTTGGGGATTGTGGGCAAAACAAAAACTTTCCCACACATTATCTTCACTCTAATACCATGGTTCCTGCTTCAGGAATATATTACTTCTTGAACTATTGCAATAGTTTCCAAATTTATCTCCCTGCCTCTTCTGCCATTCAAGTGTGTATTCTATTCTGCTCCTAATTATCCTTCAGAAACATAGATATGAATATGCCATCTTGTTTTTAAAAACATGCCTGGCTTGATAGTGCTGACAGTACAGAATGTAAAATTTTTACCACAGTACTGGAGATTTTCCACAACTTGGCCATAAACACTTTTCTATCCTCAACCTAGCTTATTTTCTTTCTGAAGATTCCTATTTTCTAGACCAGCACTCTCCAATACAACTTTCTGTGATGATAAAAATGTTCTAGATCTGCACAGTCCAATATGGTAGCCACTAGTCACATGCAGCTATTGAGCACTTGAATTGTGGACTAACGATACTAAGATACTGAATTTTAAATTTTGGTTAATTTCAGTTAATTTAAATCAACCTAGCCATAAATGGCTAATGGCTACTGCATTGGACAATACAGCTTGGAACACATAACAGTCTATATTTTATTCTCATACGTAAGACTCAACTTGGCTCATGTGGTTCTTTCTGTCTTAAATGCTCTTCCTAATTTTTTCTCCTGAAATTTGCAACTTATTCTTCAAAGAACTACTTCAATGATTTCTGTAATTTTCTCTGTCAAATCCCCTTTGGAAGAATTGGTTTACAGCTTTTTGAATGAATTATTTACACTTGAAATGAAAGGGAGCCATCCACTGTGGCTCACATTGACATAGCCTCTTTTCAGTGTTATATGCTTAAGTCAATGTTTCACAGACTGCATCATATGGTATCTGGAGGTTTCCTCAGTGCAAAGGATACAACACATAGCTCAGGCTTTGTGGTACCTATCTCTATTTCAATATGAACATCTCCTTTAAAAATGTTTTTTATCGGAGGACCTGGGTGGCTCTGTTGGTTAAGCATCTGACTCTTGGTTCATGATCTCAGGATCCTGAGACTGAGCCCTGTGTCAGGCTCCATGCTCAGCAGGGAGTCTGCTTCCCTTCTCTGTGTCCCTCTGTCCCTCCCCCATACTTTCTCTCTCTCGCTTTCTCTTTATCTCTCAGATAAATGTCTTTAAAAAAAGTGAAAAAAAAAAAAACCTTTTTTTTTTTAAGATTTTATTTATTTGAGAGAGAGAGAGAGAGCACAAGCAGGGGAGCGGCAGGCAGAGGGAGAAGCAGACTCCCCGCAGAGCAGGTAGCCTGATGCGGGGCTCGATCCCAGGAGTCTGGGATCATGACCTGAGCTGAAGGTAGACGCTTAACTGACTGAACCACCCAGGCACCCCTAAATTTTTTTTTAATTTATATTCATTGTAGAAAATATTTGCTTCTGAAAAAGTACTTGAAATCTGTCATCTAATTGAGCTAGTTCCCCTATAGAATCTTTGTTTACTTTTAATTTTTAATTTGTATTGTACTTTATGTATGGTATATTTTTCCATAACTAGATTTAAAGATTAATGAAAGCAAAAAACATATGCTATTGTTTTTTTCTCTCCAGAGTGCCTTGTCCATGGTTGGTGAAATAAATTTCCATCATTGTACATTTTAACCAAATTGAGAGGTTACGAATAAGTCAGTCTGTCCTCAAATGGGTAAAACAGGACCCTGATATAGGTATATATAACATGGTTTTCTGAGATTCCTAATCATCTATGGGAGGAATATTCTAGTTTCAACATGACTACTCTTGTGGCTTACCACAATTACATTTCTATGACCTTTATCTGTTTCATAAAGTCTTAATTCCATGTTCCAACATTCTTAACTTAGATTTTTTTAAAAAATAGATAATTACATAAACACAACTGAATCATATTCTTAATGAGTATAAATAAAAACACAATAATATGTATTAGATGGGATGGAAATGTGGACCAAATTAAAATGTCATTGATATTCACAATAAAAATATAAAGAGGAAAGAAAGATATGGAAAGAAGGATCGAAGGAAGGAACGAAGGAAGGACGGAAGGAAGGTGGGAGTTAAGGGGGGAGACAGAGAGAGTGAGGGAGAGAGGGAGAGAAAAGGCAGAAAGAACAAAGGAAGAAAGGAAGGTGGGAGTTAAGGGGGGAGATAGAGAGAGTGAGGGAGAGAGAGAGAGAAAGGGCCTAATATTTCACATGTAGAGTAAGGTAAAAAGCATTTTTATTAATTTATGTTTTTTAAGAGGATTCATGGAAGCTAAAAATCTAAATTTGGACACATCTAAATATTATCTATTTTTAAAATAAATTAGAGTATTCTGGGTTCTCAGTTAAGCAGTCAGACCTCAAGAAGGTGATTTTGGTTTTGCTTAATAACAGACACGTTGATCTTTCAATGACTCTAGTCAAGGTCTTTGGTTCTGACCTATTACCATAAGTCATCTAGAGAACAAAAGGAGGAAATGCTAGATTTTAAATTACTCAGAATTTTGAACTTATGGAAGAAAGTGTGGATATGGAAGGAAGAAAAAGAGAGAGAAGGAGGAGAAGAGGAAGAAGAAGGAGGAGGAGGAGGAGGAGGGAAGGGGAGGGGTTAAGAGAAGAAAGAAGGGGAAGAGGAAGAAGAACAGAAAGAAGAAGAACAATGACAACAAAGAAACATTTGAAAAGGTGTAAAAGCAAGACACTGCAAGATTTCTGGGTCTAGGTTGTGTGTTTGATTGTCCTGGCTGGCAGAAGTAAAAGCAGACTCCACCAAACCATTAAATAGAGCACTTGCGACAACAAGCAGAGCTGTTTATTCTTCATAAAAGTGCATTCTGATTTACTTGATTAGCAAGACCAGATGGCTGAACACTGAACCAAGCAGGGAGTCAGATTTGATTACTGATCCCAGTTTTTCAATCAAAATGTCATTTAGTATTAAAAGAACTAATAAATCACATAACTGAACAGAAAGGAAAGACTACAGAACTTTATTTTGGCTCCAAAGAAAATATTTTTGTACCCAGGTAGTCAGTTATATATATCAACTTAAATTTTGATGTTTGAAATTTAGTGTTTCAAAGCTCTTATTTAATTTTTATTGCATATTTTTTCATCTTTACTATTTGCTTCCTGGGCTTGATGTTAAATTTTAAATACTCAATATAGATTTTTTTTTCTTAAATAACTATTCTAGAACATTGTTTAAGACATGGGTTTCCTTAATAAATATTTGGTGAATGGAAGATTAAAAAAACATCATAATTTTAAGGTTTGCACTCCAATGGTTAAGTTTACTGAGTAAATGTGACAAACTGATTAACTATAGTCCCAGAGTAGACACTTGGTTGAGTGTCTTTGATAATATAATAATAGTATGTACATTATATATTCTTAGAATGAAATTAGAGAATCTATGTGAGATTGTACATTTCCTGATTTTATTCACAATTTCCAGAAGTAAAATTTTCAAAGTAGTAATTGAACATAGCTATAGGTGAGTAAAAAATAAAATGGAACATCCAGAGAGGATAATTTGCTTTTATTAAGGGAAAATAGTAGAAAACCTGCATTTTTCTTTACCTAAAAATTCAGCAAACGGATATTAAAGTTGACATCATTGCCCTCTGATGGTTTGTCCCTTCAGGGGCTACAATATGTCCCATGGATAAGCTAAAATAAGTCAAATTGAGAAAGTCACAGGCTAATTCTGCAATGTAAGTTATCAAATGTGTACTGCCAGCCATGTGCTCTGCTCTCCTGGAATACTCTGGGAAACCGAAAGCAAATCTACATAGGGTTTGGTCCTTGGAATATAACATGAAAAGTAAAATATAATTTAAAAATATGTCAAAGTTTTATAAAGAAATTAATGAAAAATGGGAGGAGGGATGAAAAGCATTGCATCCTAGAACTTACGAAGTTAGGAGATAATATGTAAAACTCCACGCCTCATTATATAGGCTCTATGGTAGGCTTTCAAGCTTGCCACTCAAGCGTAGCTGTTGTATATAGTTCTCATTTATTTAGGTATTTGGGAACAAATCTGCTTTGAAAACATTTATTGGAATCAGCAATAAAGTGCCTTTTTGGTCAATATTAGAGAAACAGATGTTTGCTTTTCTGAGTCCTATGAGAACAGGAAATATAAAGGAAGGATTACAAGCTTCAGCTCTGGCACCAAAAAAGACCTGGGTATGAGTCTTGGATTTTTCACTTCCTCAGGCTGTCCTTGTGCAAATTACTGAACTTGTACTCATAGGAGCATAAATGAAATCATGCACATAAAACACCTGGCATATTCAGTGAAAGTGTTAGATATTATTTTAAGGTTGTTGTAATTGCCATTCTAATAAGAATTTATAGTCAATCATCCAACACTTAAGTATCTTAGAATTAATAGAACAAATCCTAATATATCAATTTGATGTTATACGTGTTGAGGTAGATACATGATAGGGAAGGGGGAGTAAGAGCACGCAATTATACACAAACCAAAAACACTTTATAGATATGACTTCCAAACACAGCTGAATACTAACATTAAAGTGGGTTCTTTATCTTTAAAAATGAAATAATTTTGTGGGCCGCCTGTTGTTAGCGCCCAAATCCTAACCAAAAAAATAGAATCAAAGAGAGATCTTACATAATTTTTTAGGTACAAAGAATCTAGCACTTGAGGAAAATTCACAGCGTAAGAAACCATTCTTTACAAGGGGGATCCAAAAGTCTTTTCTAAGGGGAACTGTATGTACTTTTCCTGGTGGGCAATGACCTAACAGTCATTGAAACCTCCAGTTTCATCTTAATGGGATTTGGCTTTTGTTGGAGTACCTCAAGAATCCCTATTAGTCTAAGCAAGTGTAACATGAGTATTCAAAATTTCTCTAACAGTAAGTTGCTGTTTATGAAAATAGAGATTTTTAACATACCGAGCTTTTATTCTTTAGCTTTCTGTCTCTAGTAGTCTTTACTTTTTTGTTGCTGGTAAAATAATGCAAGGTGCCATATTCCATCAAGGCTGCAAAAACAAAAATGAAACAAACAGAAACAAAGAGATCCATCGCAGTCACGTAAGAAACCTTAGGTAAGGACTTCCTGGCGATTGTGCTCAGAGTTGTCATAGTCAGAACTGTAGTGATACCTGTGGAGGGAGGGGAAAATACAAGATAAAAAATAGCACCCGATTTTTATTTTTCCACCTGATTTGGCAATGTTGGGAGCAGAAAGAAGCAAGAGAAACAAAAGGAAATGATTACTCGTGATTTACAGAAAAAATGACTGGTAACCATAGCTACGTTATGTTCGATGTGCTCTTTGCATCTGCAATGAGTTTTAATCATCTAAATTTGTGGGCTACAAATAGCTGACTCCCCACACCCATCCTTCCATTCCTCCACAGCAAGAGACTGTCCAATTTTTAGCTGGCATGAGGTTGCATGGAAGAACTTCTTTGCCACCTTGGCTCAGCTATGTGTGGACACAGGCTGAGATCTAGCCAAGGAGAATCAAGTCAAGGGTGTAAACAGTGTCCAACAGATGGCATTAAAAATGCAAAAAGGGAGTCAAAAATTTCAGATTTCCAATTGTGAAATAGGTAAGTCATGGGGATGTAATGCAAAAAGCATGGTGATTATAGTTAATAAGGCTGTGTTGTATATTCAAAAGTTGCTGAGAGTAGATCTCCAAAGTTCTCATCATAAGAAAATAAATTCTGTGACTATGTATGTTAACTAGACTTATGGGGTGATCATTCTGCAACAGATATAAATATTGAATCATTATGCTGTACTCCTAGAACTAATATAATGTCAACTGTATTTCAATAAAAATAAAAGATGGCATTAAAGAGACAGAAAATGCCCATCTTTCTTTCTTCCTCATAGCTTTCTGCTGGAATGGAATGGCCAGAGCATCAACAGCCATCTTAGAACATTACATAATCATGAGAATTAAAATCATCCACAACATAGCAGAAAACTAGAGGGAATCTGTGCCCCTCACCCTGAAATCATCCTTTGACTACATACCTCTGGGCTTCTCACATGAACAACAAATACTCTTCTACCTAATTTAAGCTACAGTGATTTGAGGTTTTCTGCCACATACAGTTAAAATTAATCCAAACTAATACAGTGTTTTCTTATACAATAACTTGAACTAAAGCTATTTTTTTAATCTCAAAGTTCAAGCAAAAAATACAAGCAAGATTACGTCAATGGAATACTTAAAAAGCAGAGAGAAAATCTTCGTATTTTAAAGAATTCGGCATATAAAATTGGGTATCTCCCTGGGCCTCAGTCTTGTGTCTGTATCTCTGGGTATGTCTCTGTTTCTCTTCAGTTGTGGCTTTCTTGTGGTTCTTACCACGGCTAATCTTGGCACCCCTAACTCACAGCTGTACATGCTGTATCTCTCCTTACCTAAACTGCTATAATTCTCATTCTCTGTCCACCAAAATATGGCCCCATGAGTGGAATTATGTACTCTCCAAAGAGTGCTTAATGTAATGTCAAACTCTTCTTAATTTGGCCAATTATTTATACAGTGGCAACATCTGTGATGAAGAAAAAAATAGAAAGGGTCTCTTTGATATAGTAAAGGCAATACCAGCTTTATCCCTCGTCTCCTTTGAAACATGTCCTAATAATTTCTCTTACACACCTGTCTTTTTACTTTTATCATCACTTAGGATTGAAAAAAAAAAAGTAAAGACAGGAGTATGATGGATTGGGAGTCATGGTGGCAAATCTAGGTTCAAATTCTGACTTTTCTATCTATTAGCTCTGTGACCTTAAGGAAGTTTCTTAACTCCTCTATACCTTTCATCTAAAGAACTGACACAGCAATATCTTGCTTAGTACTTACAATACATTTATACATAAGGTATTTATTTTATTTATCAGTTCTTAAGGTGGATACTTAGAATATTGATTTTGTATCTACCTTTCTAATATTAGCATTGCAAAGCTACAATTTCCCCTCTAAGCAAAGCTTTAGTTGCATCTCACAAATATTTATATGTGAAATTCTAATTAAAATTTAGCTTGAAATAGTTTCCAGTTTCCATTTTGACCCAAGGGTTATATAAAAGGTCATTTTTAAATTTCCAAATAGATAGTCATTATTATCTATATTATTTATATTAATTCCTTTTTAAAAAAAAATTTTAGAAAGGTGGAGGGAATGAGAGAGAGAGAGAGAGACAGGGAAAATCCCAAGCAGGCTCCATGCCCCCAGCATGGAGCCCAACTTGGGGCTAAGTCCCACAATCCTGAGATTGTGACCTAAGCCAAAATCAATAGTAGGGCATTCAACTGACTGAACCACCCAGGTGCCCCTATTTATATTAATTCTTAATTTACTTCCATTTTGGTCAGAAAATATACTCTGGAAAATTTTGGTCTTTTAAATTTTATTGAGATCTGGGTTAATGCTCCATATGCACTTGAAAATATGGTATATTCTGTAGTTAGATGTAGTCTTCTGTAAATACCAATCAGGTCAAGTAGTTGATAATTTCATTCAGATTTTCTACATTTTCACTGATTTTCTTCCATGTACTTGTTCTATCAATGAGTGAGAAAGGATGTTAAAATATCCAAATATAATTACAGATTTCTTTTTTTCTCCTATTATTCCTGACAATTTTTGCTTCAATTATTTTTAAACCAAAACTATAAAGCTAGGCATATGGTAAGTGCTGATTTCCATGAATAAACAAGTCTTTCTTCTTCCTCCCCTTATGGGTTTTTTTCTGGTAACTGACTAAATCATAACATCGCCACGCTCAGACAAAGGTAGATTTCCAAATGTATTCCTGGATTCCATACTTATGTCCCAATTTACTAAAAAAAAACCCTTAAAGACAATGTGTGTTTTGATTTCAATATTAATGACTGCATTAAATTTCACTTTATTAAAATACTACTACATTTCTATTCATAAAGAATGAAACCTACAGCAGAATTTAGCTTTCAGACATCTATTTAATTTAGTAATTATTTTCACCATGGTTAGCTTAAAAATAAGTGGATTTCCTATTAAAATATCTTTGAATCCATGATAATAAGAAGATATTTGGGTTATTAAGCAGATTCATTGATATTTCCTGCTCAAAATCCTACAAGTCACATTGAGAATAAAATCTAAAGTCCATAATGTGACCTACTAAACCTATATGATCTAACAATTAGCCATATCTCCAATCTCATTTTCTACTACTTTTCAGTCAGTTCTAGCCATAGTTGTCTTTTTTCTGACCTTCAATCATGATGGCAAGGAAGATCCCACTTTAGGACCTGTGGTTGTCCCTGTCTGGCCTTTCTTTCTATCACATATCCACCAGGCTAGCTCCCATGTAATGTCTCTGCTACCTCCTCAAAGAGGTGGAGCCTGACTCCACAGGATAAAATAGCAAACATCATATTTACGCACATCCCCTGCCATTTTCTTGCCATTTATTTTGGTTTCTCTTCGTAGCCTTTATTACTCACTGATGTTATATGCTCTTCATATTTGTTCATTACCTGCACACCCCACTAAAACATGAATGCCGTGAACATGGGGATTTTACAGCTACTGTTCACTGTTAACACTGAAGCACTTAGAACACTGCCTGTTTCATAAAAAAGCATTTGGTAAATGTTTGCTAAAACACAACGTGGAATAAATAAGCTCAGGAAATTGTACTTCAATGACATATATATGTATGTATGTATGTGCCTATACTTGTTTTAAAAAAAATCTTGAGCTCCAAATACATACGGCTCACAATTATAAGAGATATTCTTCAAGTTAGATCTGGCTATGGCTTATCTTTATAGTCAAAATGCTAATATTAAAAAATATGAATTCATATAACAACACAATTCCACAATTGGCTATTCCCTTTGATGACACTATGGCATTTTTTTTGGCTTCATACAAATATCATGGAAGAAGCAAAAATGAACTACTGGGATTTCATCAAGATAAAAAGCTTTTGCACAGCAAAGGGAATAGTCAACAAAACCAAAAGACAACCGACAGAATGGGAGAAGATATTTGCAAATGACATATCAGATAAAGGGCTAGTATCCAAAAT